GTCTTGTAATATAATTGAATGTAAGGCAGAAATCATTTGTTATAAATCTAATCTATTGTATTGATTGATGCCAATAGCTGTGATAAAGTAAATTCAAAGCTCCTCAAAAAGAGAAAAATATAGACATTGTTTTTCTTGTATAGATCAAGAATCAATGGCTTTACTATAATAAATTCAAACTTGGCTAATAAACATTGCCATCTTATGGTGGAATAGGGAAAACACTACCTTTAAGAAAACTGTTCCTTTTATGTCTTATATTAAATATCCCTCAAAGCAAGAACATTGAATATTGGGGATTTTTTTTAGTAAATATGGAGATAAAGTAAGGGCCTTAAAAAAAAATTTTTTTGTTTTACTCTTCAGATGAATAATTCTGACTTTCGTAAAATAATTCTGATTTTCCTAGAAATCATTTTTCTGATTTGAATACTTACTGCACAGAATTGTATAAGGAGTAATTATTCTGATTCTATAGTATTACTGCTATTTTAACCAACATTACTCAGGCTTCACAATCATAAATAAATTTCCCATTACCTTACTGATTCAAATAGCAATGAATGTGGTATTATTCAGGTGTTTATGACCCTTTGTGACCTAATGGACATCATTTTTTCTAGGATTCTTTACCAGTAATTATACCTTTGAATTCTAACTCATTCACATCTATATGGAACATAGTTCTGATATATTCCTTATGCACATATTTAATACAATTTATTTGTAACTTTTCCAATAATCCTTAAACAAGTGCCATAGATATGAGAACTACTAAATTAAACTGACCAAAGAGTGAGGAGTCTTTGATGCTTTCTGACCTTGGTAGTTTTCTTGCAGACGTTTCATTACCCAAACTAGATAACATCATCAGTGCTAGTAAGGAGTGGGATTCACGCTCAATTTATATTTGGGCAGAATTGGGGTAGTGCATCTATCCTTGCCCTACTTTACCTCTCAATTATTTTTGATAGCATTGACCATGGTGTTCTTCTGAATTGGCTCAGAGGATTGAGAGTGGGAGGTACAGTGTTGCGCTGGCTGCCTCCTTCATTCAAGGCCAATTCCAGGAACCATGGCTTCTGTGTCATAGATCTCAGGCCTGTTTTAAGATGCTGCATATGTACCTACAAGGAAGCAGCTTTCTTTTAAGTATATAGTTTGTGTGTTAAGGGGCCAGTTGCCTTTTGGCCTTGGGTGTCAATGGAAGCTTACTGACTGGAAGAGGGTCCATTTGAGTTTTGGTTAGAGCAGTGAACAGGAGAAATGTTGCTTTTTTGCTCTTCTAATCATTACATCAAAATTAAATTAACCTGCTGAAAGAGGAAATCCTATACTTTTTACTTCATAGAAGTTCATCAATGTATGTTCTAGTCTAAAACAACTCTGAAATAAATTAACAAGGAGTGGTAAGTATTTAATGAAGGAAGTAAAATAGAAATAAAATCCAAAATATATTAACTAATATGTCAGATTATTTTCCAGCAAAGAGATGTCAAGCTTCTTCATTTTCTTTCTTTCTTTCTTTTTTTCTGTGGATGGATGGCTGGTGGCTTTGAATGAAGCCTTTTGGCAAGTGGCCATATTTCAACAAAAGGAAGAGCACAGCTGTTCTAAATCAATGGATTTTTTTTTTAGATTTAAATGCTGCAGAGCTTGCATGTTAGGGATGCATAATAGGATTTATCAACCAGAGAGAAGATCAGAGCTGTTACTTTTACCAAAATGAACTATTTACTTGAACCTTTAAAATCTGCTAAAAACGGCTCTGAATAAAAAGGCCTTAAGATTACATGAGCTTCATTGTGTTTGTAAATCTATGCCCTTCTTCCCCCTGCCCTCCTTGAAATGCCCTTAGAATGATTGATGTCAGAGACACCAGAATGAATTAAGTATAAAAAAATGGTCTCAAGTTGAGGTTCCACAAGATTTGGAGGTTTCACAAGGTTTTTCAGTTAGGATAATCTCCTTTTGCCTCTTTCAGCTACTATTATTATGCCACTTAAACTGAGAGTATTTATTTAAATATAGCTTTATGGCCTTGTGATTTCCAAGAGGTATACAATGAAAAATGAGAAAATGGAATCTGTCTTGCTTGTTCCAAAGGTCGTTTTTCAAAAGGCAACTGGACTTTCTTTGTTTTTTCCCTTGAAGACGTTTCGCTTCTTATCCAAGAAGATTCTTCAGTTCTGACTGAATGGTGGAGAATGGAAGGATTAATATTCCTTACAGTCATCTGGTCCTTAGCACTCTCTCTGAGAGTCATTGAGGCAACTTGGAAGTTTATCTGTGCCGTCAGGGTCATTTGATTAGTGCAAATGGGTTTGGAACCTTCTTGAAACTGCTGAAAGTTCCAAGGATGAGGATCTTGGATCAGAAGCTAAACATCTTCAAGGGGGGGGGAAACAATGAAAGTCCAGTTGCCTTTTGAAAAAGCATCTTTAGGATAACCATGATCTGGATGACTTTGAATCTCCATAGACATTTGTCTTGCTTCCAAATGTATTTGGCAGGAGTAAAAAGAAAGCATTTCAATTTTCATAAGTTAGGGTTTATATTTTCTATCTGATCTGCCTCCATTTGTAGTCTTTACAGTCTATTTTAGCAAGGCTGACTAGGCAATTAAAGCCCAGCATTTTTGGAATGCATGAGATTTGGGAAGACTGTACAAAACCAGTATTTCGGATACATTGGAAGCCTCAATAAGGAGACGAAAGAAAGACATTCTAGTTTGATGAATAAATCAGTTCACAAATTTTGGATCCAAATTGCAATATCAGCTATCAGAAAAATTGTACTTTTAAGTTAAAGCTATAAGATGTGACAGTATGCAGTATACATGTGTTCCAGCAAATATTTTTGTGCAGACAGTGAGAATAAGAGAATGAGGATAAATTCTAGATTTGTGAGGAAGTCCATGTATGTATATTTACTTACATCTGTATAACCATATAGAGTTCACAAAAATCTTTCTGGTAAGCTGTCCTCAAAGTTTCTCATCTTTCTTCATCACCCTCTCCTCAAGGCAAATCTTGAATTCTGGCAGAAACTGGAACTCAGATTACATTTGTTACAGTCAAGCTGAGAAAGAAATGTCGTTATCTTTTGCTATCTGTTTCTATTATTGTACTGCCATAGTTGCATACTGTTTTGTAAGGCAAAACGTGGCAATGTGGATAAATGTAATTGCATCATGTTAAAATATAATACGGGTTTAGTTTGATTTGGTGTGATGTGTAAACCATGCTGTTGGATAGATGTGCGTCAGCCAATTGTGACTTATTCAAATTATGCCTGAGCCAGAAGAATGAGGGCTTAAGGTCAGGAAGCTGCTTAGAATGAAGCAAAGAAAACTTTTTTTTTAATATGAAATTATGGAAAACTCTTCTTGTCCCTTATTTTATATTTTCTCTTAAGTAGAATTATGTTTCATTTGATTGAATTCTTTTGGAAAACATGTTTTGCTCTTTCCCAGCAGTTTCAGGAACAAGTGCCTGATGACTCCGAAGTTCAGTCTTTCTACAATGTAAGAAACTTGCAAAGCTTTGTTCTGCTGGGAACTAGTCTGATGCTACGGTTGCTTAGTTGTGCAATTAATTTGTGCTTTCTTTGTGTTGGTGTGTTTTCTTTACTAGTAATGAGAGTCCTGTGACATTAGATGTTTGCAAAATTTCATATGGTAGGGTTCTGAAGCTTTTTTTTTTCTAAACCTCTGTGGGATCCACTTAATTCTGACTTTGTGCTTAGTGCTGTTGCTTTGTAGAATCAAGTTGAGAGAGAGAGATAAGTAAAAGACATTGTGGTTCTTCTGTCCCAAAATGCTTAGAAGCTAAATTTTGAGATGAAAAGGGCAGGTTAGGAAAAAAAAAAAAAGGTGTGATGTCCGTAGGCCTGTGATTATTAGAAAAAATTCCAATTTAATCTCAAGCCCTGTCTGGAATCTCTATTTCCAAATTTAGTTTTCCTTTTCCTTATAACTTTTTGCATTTAAGAAACAGATCTCTTGTTTCTACTATTATTAAAGTGCATCTTAACTTGACAAATTAAATAATTATATGTTGCAATCTTGGGTTTTGTTTTGTTTTATTTCCCCTAATTTGCACTTTATACCATCCTTAACAGTGACAGGTACAGTACTGTACTTTAAACAAACAGAGAATATTTGAAAATTTCTGAGCATGCAATTGATGTGGTACAATTCCTTTATTTCTTTATATTAAATTCCTTGGGAGGTCCCTGGCCTTCAAGACTACCTGCGGAAGTACTTTCCTAATTTTTAAATTGTCTTACTTAAAAACCATTCTAACTACTGTTTCTCTTTCTTTCTTTCTTTCTTTCTTTCTTTCTTTCTTTCTTTCTTTCTTTCTTTCTTTCTTTCTTTCTTTCTTTCTTTCTTTCTTTCTTTCTTTCTTTCTTTCTTTCTTTCTTTCTTTTGAATTCTTAATGTTTGTGAACTTCAAGATGATCCTGCAGTTTATTCTGACTTGAGTGGTCTTTCTCTTGTTGATTGTTGACATATTCTTCAGTATGCTCTTTCTTTATTTTACTTTCACTTATTATTACATTTCTTTGCTGCCCAATTCCCAATAACTCTTGAGTGGCTCATAAAGCTGCTACTTTTTGCATTTTTTACATTAATGCTTTTGCAAGTTTTAGTTGAAGCACCTTGGTATTGGGATCTGTGCCTTGAAATCTCTCCTTAGCTGTAATAGTGTGTTCTTTGTAAGTAGAAGGATTATGTATTTTGAACATTCAAAATGATTGTTCCATTCATATTTAAGCAAATCATAAATGGGAATTTACTAGTTAACTGGGAAATAACTTCTGTAGACTTCTTTCTCTAACACTAATCGTACATACAAGTATGTATATATTTTTGAAGATGACATCAAACAGTCTCTTTTGAACAAACAACTTTTCTTTTGTAATTAAGAATTTCTCTACTGCAGTTACATTTTTTGTGAAAAAATGTTTACTAATGTTTAATATATTTTTTTCAGATCGAGAAAATCATGAGTTCGATTGGTGAAGGCATTGACTTTTCACAGGAGCAGCAAAGAATGTCAGGTACTGTACTGAATTTTACAGACAGATGTGAGTTTTGTCTCAGGCTGCCATTTTTATTTATGTCTGCATTCAAAAGAAAAAAACAAAAGCCAATGCAATAAGTTTAACCTGTTTGGGGATTTTAATTTTTCAAGCCATGTTTCCATGTTTGGTGTTATCCTATTTCCAGGGTTCCAGATAAACTATTTCAAATAACTATTCTGTATTTCCAGATTGGATAGATACCACAAGGCTTAATTTAATTTAATGAAATGAACTACATTACTATAAGTAGATATTGTTATTTGTGCTAAATGCTTTGCACAACAGAAATTAAAATGTATGCACAGATGAGGGACAAAAATCTATCAAAAAGCCCAGATTGCTTCCCTAGCACTAGTTGTAATATTTAGATAGGCTACATGTTCTGGAAGTCTTCTCCCAGAAGGCTACCAGAAGAAAAAGCTGCTTAAAGACATCTGCTTGCAGTCTTCTCTGGGACAGCTGGCTTTACTCATCCCTTACTTTCCTTTTTAGATAATTCTGGATCAGTGGTTTTAAATGGACTTTCAGCTGTAACAGTTGAGATCTGCCTTTCTTTGTTTCTCCCTTTTCCCAAAAGGAAAAAACTAGGGTAAGCAAGGCGCTAAGGAGCTGGCATTTGCTTCCAAAAGGGGTTAGAGCAGTGATGGCGAACTTTTTAGAGACCGAGTGCCCAAAGTGCAACCCAAAACCCACTTATGCATTGTCGAGTGCCCGGTGGGTGTGGCCCATTGGCTGGGTGTTGCCAATTGGGTGGGCGTGGCCAATTGGGTGGGTGTGGGTGTGGTGGTAATGGCAGACTGGGTGGGACTAAAAAGTTCAATCAATCAATTCCAACTTTGCAAGATCTTTTTTTTTTCCTGCGAGAAGTTGAAATTGACTGATTTAACCTTTTTTTTTTTTTTTTGCACATGGCAGCGGAGGCCTAAACCGAAAAGGTTTTATAAAACCCAGCTGAAGGCTTAGGACTGGGGTGTGCCCACAGAGAAGGCTCTGAGTGCCGCCTCTGGCACCCGTGCCATAGGTTCACCACCACTGGGTTAGAGGGAAGACCTTCAAGGTGGATGGGGTGGCGGTTGCAAATTAGAGAAGAGAGAGAAAATTCTGCTTGTGAGAGAAAGCTTCTTCATCTGTAACTTACAAATATGGCTAGGAAAATGAAGACTAAAGAGAGAAAAATAAGGGCAAAACATATTAAATATGCAGAGTTTTAGTTTTGCTTGATAGTTTTTATTCAATGAGATCTATTACAAGGTAACACCCTATATGTATCAGATGTAATCCCACTTATCATAGGAAGAGAGTTGGGCCAACATTTATCTAACCTTGATTGGAAATGGGTTTTGATAAAAGTTAAATAAAAACATTAAAGGAATCATACTGGATTGTATGAAAGTCCAATTTAGTCTAATGTTGTGTTCTTATAGTAGCCAATTATGGAAGTCCCACAAGCAGAACATAAAGTACTGAGTTTCATCTTTTTAACTGATCTTGCACATGAAACCAAATCCTACCTTAAAGGATTGATTTTAAACTTCTTAATATCTGTGATTTGCTTCCTAATCTTTTTGTGCTGTTGTGTCTCTGTGCGGGTTTGGTTAAACCTACAAACTCCTCAAAAAAATGTATTTCAATGCAAAAAATAAAATGCACAGTTATAGGTTGTATTAACAAGAAAAGTAATAATAGTCGAATAGAATCAAAATATTAATAGCAGATGTGTAATGTAGTAATATATGTACTCTATTCATCCATTAAATCATTAACAAGAAAAATTAAATTTCAGATAGTGGTTCATGAAAATCAAATTATAATTATTCCCATCTAAGTTCACAGACCCCTGAAATCTATCCAAGTTATGAACCCTTCTAGGACTTCACAATTACATTCCCCACATTAATAGTACCAAAGTATATCACAACTGCTGACATGAATCTAGCACCGTCTGTTGATTCAGATGGCCACATGATATATATTATCTTTTTATTAGGCAAGCATGTCACTATGCAACATACACCTCCATCACAATCTGAGTTTCCCTATCTTGGAGATACAGCTTCAACTTTAGAGAATATATGTTCACTCTCTTGCAAACAGACCCATTTTAGAGATTATTTTCCTTTTTTCTGGAATAATGCCCTAATTCTTCAAGACTGTCATTTTGAACTACAGCAATGAACCATTATCCAGAGACTGAAACAGAACTACCATAGCTGCAAAGGTTCAACCATCAATCTCCAGTTTTTTTTCCAGATCAATGATGTTAGTTTCAAGAGAATAAACTCATTTCCTGAAAGCTAGGAACACATTAAAGTATATTGACAAACTTATGTCCAGCTGGCAGATAACAATAAATATGGCATTCAGTACAATATATAGGATAATGCCAACTATTCTGTTATCAAATTTATATTGATTCATAGCTCATCTTTATGCTGAAGTTGAAACTGTAACGTTAAACTGTTTTGTCAGAGGCATTCTCGCTCTGGTCATAGCTCTCTCTATCATGAAACACCTTATTTCTATAGCTGCAGGTAGCTTTATGTGAATGATATTGCAACCAATTGAATTGGAAATTCTTGTGTTAAAAAAAAAGTTGTGGGTTAACTGATGTTGAGTAATTTTTAATCTAGAAGATGTTATTTATGTGAATAAGAATAAAGATCATAAGAATTGTTGTAATTCTGTATTGGTATCATTTAATAATCAACAGTCTAGAGAAAGAATACAATAGTAACATTTTCAATAATACATGGTTGTATAATCAGTATAGAAAAAAATACACTGAAAATTTCACTTTTGTATAATAACTAATGCAGAATTTTGGCATTGCCCTTTAAAAAAAGTACAGCCCCAAGCAGAAGAGCTATGGCAATGAATGAAATGCCCCCCCCCCAAAAAAAGCAGAGGAAGATAATCAGTTTATCTCTGCTTCAAGTGAATATATATTTATGTAGCCTTTGAGTCAAAATTGTGTTCTGTACAGTCCATTTAATGCTTTACTCTTCTAGGTAGTCATACAGGAATTATAAATTACTCTAGTTCTCTTAAAACATGTCAGTCATGCAAAATTGTTTATTCTCTAGAGGTACTGTCAACATCCAGCTCGAGAATCCAAACTCCAGGTTCAGTTCATTTCCGAAAAGCTTATTGAATACACAGCTTGGTTATATCAAAGAAAAACTAACTCTGTGGTTCCAACACCAATTCATAGACTTAAACAATAATTCTCCCAGCCAAACCCCCAGCCTCTTATGTAATACATATCAACAAGTTCACTTTGTTATGAGAACCGCTTGCTTCAAATCCTCACTGTTATGGCAGGGGTGTCAAATTGCCGACCCACGGGCTGTTTGTATCATAAGGAGGCCATGCCCACCCCAGCTCTGGCAATGCAAAAAAAAGTCACGATACATCGCAACATGTCACATGACACGGCAAGTTTGACATCCGTGNGTAATACATATCAACAAGTTCACTTTGTTATGAGAACCGCTTGCTTCAAATCCTCACTGTTATGGCAGGGGTGTCAAATTGCCGACCCACGGGCTGTTTGTATCATAAGGAGGCCATGCCCACCCCAGCTCTGGCAATGCAAAAAAAAGTCACGATACATCGCAACATGTCACATGACACGGCAAGTTTGACATCCGTGTCTTATGGTGTCCTTGACAAGGTTTCAGCCTCTCACGGTCTCCAGCTGAATCGAAGAGGTTACATTTCTCCATTTAACCCACTCGAAAGTAACACCCCCCTCCCCTCAATATAAAGGCAAGATGAAATGCAGAGGCACATAGCTGCCAAAGTTTTATCCTTGACAGGTACTTCTTCCAGTGAACCCCCAAATGCACATATTATCTCCATATCCAAAACAAATAAATAGATAAGGATGCAGATTTAAATTATAAGTTTTTATGATAAGTCAGGAATGAAAAAGCCAACCCTCCCAAAAAAGTATTTATGGATTCCAGCTTGAGTTTATTTAAAATGAAGAAAGATTGGTCCGCAAGAGATTTCAAAAAACTTTTTAATACTTTAAAAATAGCCAGGATTGTTTAGCTTATAGCAGACAGTAGGGAAGTTAAGTATGTAGTACTGGGTAAGGAAACAAATTCAATGTTTCATCTGATTTCTAGACTCCAGAAATAATTCAGTGATCTATATCTTAACAGAACAGCCAATACATTATTATATGACTTCCATTTACTGATTATGTGCCAGCAAGTCAGTGTCGATTCTTAACAACTACAGTACATAGATTGATCTTCTCCAGAGTGATCTATCCCTAACTTGGCCTTTTAGGTCTTCCAACAGTGCAGCCATTGTGTCCATCCACTTACCTCTGGCCATCTTCTTTCCTTCCCTTCCACCTTTTCTGATATGTTGTAATAGAACAACCCCTATAATGTTTTAAGAGTTCCATTACACAACTGAAAAACTACAGATCAGCCACCTGGTAAATTTAGTTTATAAAAAATAGTGGAAGGGACATTGAACGTATTATGGGTTTGCCACAAAATAATTATAATTTATTTAGTATGCCTCTGAATACCAGGAGTTGGGGAGCACAGTTGGTAGGAAATATTGTAGTGGTTTCCTGCTTGGTATTTTCTCAGAGCCATCTATTTAGGAACTGTGTAGAACAAAATACTGGATTAGAGCTCTGGCCCAATTCAGAATGATTTTCATATGTTATAAGACTTAACTGCCACCCTGCAATGTGAATCAAGATGTATAGCTTTTGATTAGAAGTTTTTATTGTTCAGTACAGTGCACAAAGTGGTATTTTTCATTTTCTTCTGCTAAAACCCGAATTTACTCTAGGGGATTTTTTTTTTTTTTGCTGTAAGAATCCACATTTCCAGAAGAGTCACATTCTTATGTATAATGCATGGCTAACTGAAGGTATTGCATGCTCATCATAACAAAGTGTTGACTGAAAAGTTTGCATGAAACTGTTAAGGTTCAGGTTTGCTACAGTATATATTATCGTATATATGTCACCAATGTTTCATGTAATAATGTGATGCTTTATTTTACATCTTGCACTCATACTGATATTAACAAATGTGCTTAAACCCTCAGTGTATGAGGGTGTCTTCTGTTGAAGTTCAATAATTACTATCCCTTGTCTAAGACCATATGGGCTGGAAATTTTGGCAGGCTATTGCCTACCTACAAACTTTTCAACTTGTTTATAAATATATTTAAGTATCTCGCTTTTGCAGCTATTCTACTATGAATGGTATTTCAGATTCTTTTACTAATAGATAATATGAGGGAGGAACATATTATTCAACTCACATTCTGTTGCTCTGATACGGCTAAGCAATCATACATAGCACTCCAAGAAAAATGGTTTTTTCATACAGTACTTATCAGTGGAGAAATAGCTTTGTGTGATTTGAGGCATTTGCTGAAATTTGAGAACTCCAAATAACACAGAGCAAGTACTTATATCTTAAAATGTATTATGTCTTGCCCTGCCTGGGTGAGCCAGAATATTACACATTCATTTCAGATTATATTAAGTGCCTCATGTACTTAGCAGTGTCTAATATGACTCTGAATTTTTAGATTTACTGGACTGATCTGAATTTCTCAAATGTATGGTTCCAGTTTTGATTCCATCATCAACTGTTTGATGCTTTCATCTGAACTCTTCTGGAAGATATTAATACTTGCTATGAAAATCACATCTTTTTATAACATAAATTGATTCAGCTTCAACCGTCAGCATGTATAAGCAAAAATAGCATCATTGACAATTAGAGAGAAAATACAATTTGGAAAGTGAATGTAGGACTGGTTGCAGCCTCACTCCTTCAAAAGTGTAATCAACACATAGAAAAAAAAATAGATTAGGAGAACTGTATTTTCCAGCTGTATCCCTGACATTCCTCTCCGTTCTTTCAAAGGGTGCTTAATCAGGAGCAGCTGAATTCCCACCAGCACAGAAAACCCATGTGCTTAGTCTCTTTATATTTGGCTCAATATATTGTATGGTGCTAAGGATCATACAGTTGATTATAGGCATGTTTCAATTTCTCCTCCACACAGTTTTTAGCCTTTATCTACATTAATGTACTGGTCTCTGAAATAATCACAACTCTTTTCTATTCTCCATAAACATCTGACTAGAACATAAATTATGTTGAATACTACTTATTACTTTATGCTTCAGAAATACTAAATAATTTAGCTTTATATAAAATTTTGAATATTAAAGATTATGTGGGTTTGAATGAGGAAGTATAGCTTGTGTAACTGGTAGTATTTGTTCTTGATACAGTTTCTACAGTTATGCTTCTTTCTATTTTTTTGTTTCTTTTAATGAGCTAATGGAATTAATAGTACTTGCTAGAAACTACTAGACCCATAACCAAATCTCCTTTTTTATATAGACTACTACAGCATCGCTGAAGGTTTTTGCAAATAGTAATTAAACCAATTAAGATTTTGGTGGGAACAGCAAAATGCTAGAAGATCAAAAGTGTCAAAATGTTATAAGATTTAACTACCTCATAAGATTTCATTATCTCATGAGATTTCATCAATTTTTCAAAATGATTTACAGGTGGCCCTTGAGTTTTGACCACAATTGGGATCATAATTTCCATAGCTAAGCAAGGTGGTTGTTAGGTGAGTTACAATTGATTTTATGACTTTTTTTCCAAAGTTGTTAAGTGGATAACTACAGTTGTTAATTGCATCACACAATTATTAAGTGAATCTGGCTTCCCCCAATGATTTTGCTTGTCGAAAGCCAGCTAGGGAGGTTGCAAATGATGATCGCATGACCATGTGATGCTGCAACTGTTGTAAATACATGCTGCATCCCAAGCATCTGAATTTTTTTAATCACGTTACCATGGTGATGCTGAGGTGTTTGTAAGTGCAAGGTCTAGTTGTAAGTCACTTTTTTGAGTGTGGTTGTAACTTTGAACAGTCGCTAAGCAAATGGTTGTGAGTGAAGACCTACCTGTACATTTTCCTCCTGTCCTTGCAAGATTTTATTATGCTACCATAAAAATTGCTCATCATTTTATTCTACTTGGCTTTTTATAGTGGGGTCTGAGTCCTATTTCTAGATATTTTCCCATTTTGCTTAGTATAAATGAACGTACAGATCTACATATATTTCTTACAATAATTAATATTCCTGCAATAAAGAAGACATTTTCCAAGAATTTCATTTGAAATTTCATGGGGAGGGGGTGGGTAATTAAAGTCCATTTGTTTGTGAATCTAGATGCCATAATTCAGTAAAGAAATAGTTTGATCTATGCATTTTCCAGATGTAAATTCTAAATATGTCTTTTTGATCACTAGTGAATATTCTGTTTTAATACCAAGAAAGGAAATTGGTTCCTGGATAATAAAAAAACTAGAGTGGGATCTGATTTGTCACATTTTCTTCATTACCTTGGACAAAATAAGTAGAGTTCTCTCAGCCCCAAACAGGCCCCCTTGAAGTATTTATCATCAATTAAGAGAGCTAGCAACCACTGTATATTCAAGAAAGCATACCTATTCTTGAACATATGAGTCGCTCTGGGATTGAATGATAGCAGCAACGACTCAGGGCATTCTCTTGGGAGCAGAACAGCCCTGTGGGCAACATGAGTATTAGAGGTTCCAGAGCTGCAAATCTCTAGATGAGGGGTAGGCAACCTTGGCTCTTTTATGACTCGTGGCTCAGGAATTCTGGAAGTTGAAGTCCACGAGTCATAAAAGAGCCAAGGTTGCCTACCCCTGCTCTAGATGACCACATAGCAATGAAAGTTCTATGTATGCTTTCACTGTTATCTTAGTAATTATCTTTGTCAATATGCACTGAATCTATTTGTTGTGCTCAGTTCTGTCTGTAGCTCCCCGCCTTACTTATCATCCTGCACAAACCTAAGTTCCTCTCTAGGGGTATGCAGTCCTGAAGCAGATCTCGATTAGGTTTGTTTTGAAGGCAAAGTTTTGGGTTCCTTGTGCCTGTGAGCCGCAAGATGGCCACTGTCTCCATCTTGACTGTATTTGAACCACTGGAAAGAACAGCGTCCTAATAATTTGTAGTATGATTTTATTGAAATTGATTGTCTGGTTTCAATAAAACTGTTTTAGAATTTTAACAAAGCAGCTGGATTCAGTTTTGTTTTTGTT